AGGGAGATCTGGGCAGAAGCCACAGGTGTGAGTGAGATGTCTAAGCCTGTAAGTCAGGCAACTTTCTGCCTGGGATTTTTCCGAATGCTGGTAAACACAGACAGATTTCACTGAAACAATATGGATTGTCTTCATGGGGTTTATCAGAAGAAAAGATATTCCTATAAATTAAGGCTTGAATTAAAAGATAGAAGGTCTGAAAACTTTTTTCTCCTATAATATTTAAGAAACATTTTAAAATATTGTTATTAAAATTTATGATTATTTTTGGCCTTTGCCTAAGCACTTGATCCCCTCACTAATTTGTGCTTAGTATAACTTCCTGACTCTGCTTCCTTTCCTGGGCAATCATGTGGGAAGATTCTATGCAGTATTTATGGATCTATGTATGTCACACATTGTTCTAAGCAGCATATCACAAACCACCTAACAAAATCCTCAACCACAGTCACCAGGATTCTAACATTGCAGGTATCTCAACTAAGAGACTAGTCACTCTGCAAACTTCCGATTGCAAGAATGGAATTTGTGTCAGAATCACCCTTATGAAAGAGCTGTAGATGTGAGAAAGAAGAAAGCCAGTGAAGGATGCATCAAAGAGGAATGATTTTTCATTCTCAATACTATCATGAATAAAATTATGGAGGAAGCCGAAAAGCAAACTTTCAATGTAGCCTGTAGAAAGCATAATTCTCAAAGGAATTTACCTCTCTGCTCTGAGCAGGAGTCTTGACAGCAAGTGCTCAGTGGAGGTGATGATTTAATAATTACAATGCAAAGCGTTGGTTGAAAATGACTAACTGGCATCATGAAAGGAAAGATAGATCGCAAGAGTGGATTTCTGATCTCCAGTTCCCCCCTTCATTGGAATAAACAATATCTTACCCTAAGTCTACTTACAATCTCTTCTTCTTGGGCTTCAATAATCTTATTCATTTATTTATTGTTTTCTGTATCCCATTATTATTCTGTACTGATCTAAGGCAGGACTAGAATGGATCCTCCCTTAAATCTAAAATTTTAAACTAATTACTAAGACTCTCCCTGTCCCTGCCTACAAAAGACACTTCTCTTTTACCATGTCCCCATAGTTGAAATGATCTTGCTAATTTAGTCCTGCACAAATATGTACCAGACAAAAATTTAAAGAAAGATCTGCTTTTCTTGCTCTGCTTTTCATTACAATGGCAGGGAGGATTATATAAAACATTCTGGAATTTTGATAGAAAGACAATAAATTATAAACTGGGGTAAATATAATACTATGCAAAAATCACTGATTCTATGTTATACTATTAGATAAGGGAATTAAACCTGGGTCTGCTACAGTAGGTGCTATGACACCACACTTATAGAACATAGATAATTCTGGGAATTCTTGATGTAGTTATGTCTCAACTTATGATTTTAAAAAATTAATGCACTGTAATAAGAAAATATAAATTGAAATAGTTTAAAAACTAGGTGGAAGGAAAATTAAAAACAGGAATTAAGTAGACCAAGAAGTGAAGTCAGTACAAAATACATTTAAGACTGCACCTTCCTTGCAAGCACAAGGTTGTGAGTTTGATCCCTGATACCAAAAAAAAAAAAATGTTCAAATACATCTATGAAATCTCATATATTTTCAACTGCCAGTGAGGACTTGAGTTTTCCAGTAGTCAACATAATGCAATTGCAATACCTTTGCCATCCCAAGTTAGTAATCCTGGACATGATATATAGAAGAATTTATGCCTTTTTATTTCACTGAACATTGAACTAGAATGATGTTCCATGTTCATCTCTGAAAACCCAATATTAGACATATGCTTTCCCTAGCAGAAGAGGAAAACTTTAATGAAAGAATGAGTGTAATCTTAGTTCAAAATCTGACTGGTGAAAATAATCTCTGAATTATTTTTTAAGATTATTTAATAGACTTAAATGTTCTGCATCTCACTAAAGATTTTTGTCACCTATCTGTGATTATCACCACTCAGAAAGTTTCCTATTCAGACCATCACAAGAAAATTTCTTGGTTTACTAAATAGGATTGTTTGTTTTGTTCCAGTAGTATGTATTAAATCAAGAACTAGCCCATTTTTATATAATAACAGGCAGATGCTGAAATTTTCCAAATGTTATTATTCCAAATGTAACTTCTAATGCATCTGTATTACAATCATTTAAAGATTCTTATTTTTAAGGTTTATTCATCATAAATATAAATGATAAAGTATAAAGAAACAAAATAATTTGTTTATGTATGTATATTATCTCCTAGACATGAATTCGTGATCTTCTTCACTGTAAAATATATGTGGTTAAGATGTGGGTAAAAGCATAGAAGAGGAGAAAACAGGACAGATAATGTGAAGAAAGAATATTTAAAAAGTGAATGTATTGTTTTGCTATTAAAAGCAATATTTTGTTTCTGATTTTTCATCAAAGTTATGAAGCAGTTTCTTTGTGATTCAGTATAATTGTGTATGCTCATTTATTAGCAGTAACTTTATTTTGTAATTTTGAGTTAAACCACCCATTAAAATATTATTTTAGTTGCTGAGCTTATTACATAATTTGAAACAAGTTACATAAGGAGAAAGGTATATTTCTTAAGAGATCTGTTCTGAACCAGAAAATTCTACTACCTTTTAACGAGGCATTTACAAATCCATTGCCAGATTCCAAACAATTCTACTGTGTTACATTCCCACAACTGGTCTCTAAATGTACCGATTTAGTTCTGATACATCAAGCATAAATTTGAGTTTGAAAGTCTCACTTGGCTTAGTTTTACAGGTGTCCATTTTGTTCTGACTGTGATAAAAGGTGACATTCGGGCCATTGTGGATTTGCTCGCCTTATATTTTGACAATGTTCTTTATATCCTTTTGTTCTGGTTCAGTTTGAAAATAGAGACTATCATTTTTATTTATTAAT